CACGAAATAGTAGATTTCAAGAAAAAGAGTAGTCAATGCACGTTGACCGCAGTCAACTGTATGTTGACTACTATTTGGTGGGCTATTTTTGGCTAAGGGGCTGTTTGATTAACATCTGACCGAGTCGAGTCAGACGTTTTTGGCTGACTCGGTCAGCTGATGTTGTTTGATAACCCAAATCTAAATAGCTGACTCGGTAAGAGATATCTGACTGGAAAAGCTAGGGAAAATTGGCTGACTAGAAGCGTTCCAAATATACCCTTGACCTAACGTTTCTTTTCAGCGCCTAAAAAAAAACCCTCCTCCTCCTCTTTCAGCGACAAGAACAATTAAAGCACCGAACGATCTCAGGGGCTGAGATTGACGAGCCTGCCCTCCACCGATCGACAGCCTTCCCTCCACCGATCGACACCCCTCTTCTCATTACTCATCAGGTACGCTGATCTTCTTCTCTTTCACATATGTTTGCTGTTTTTTTATCCGATTTTTTCTACTTTGTTCATGTTTGTTCTTAATAAATTTTTTTTTCTGATCTATATATGTTTGTTGTTAATGAAGCATTGTTTGCATTATGAGAATTTTTTTTCTGATCTGCATATGTTTGTTGTTAATGAAGAACTGTTCCAACATAGATTACGTAAACTGAGAAGAAAAATCTTTTATTGAAAATATTATGTGATTCTCCCTAATCTATTCCTAATTAACCTAAACAATCAATTTGAAACTTGTGTTTGTAATCATAATTTATGATTACAAATATAAATCATTTATAATTGGTATGAGAAAAACATGTGAAGACCATGTGAAAACATATGGTGTTCAAAAAATTAAAAGGAACATTTTGTTGCAAGAAGAACAAACACTTGAGAAACCTGATCAAATCAATGTGAATAGTATTTGTGAAGACTTTATGCAAATAAAGTAGTTATTAACTTGCTGCATTGTTCTCTTTCAAAAAAAACTTACTGCATTGTTATTATCCGCAATAATAAAGTAGTTACTGGCTTACTGCAATAAAATCAAATTACTTAATTGTCCATGAATCTCTTTTATGAACTTGAACCATAAAGCATTGTTATTATTCACAAATCTGTCATTTTTCCAAATGTAAGGCTATGAAGATGACTTTGTTGGCGGTAATTGATATGTGGGGATACGTTTGTTTTTTGAATATTATGTTTTTTTGAAACTTGAATATTGAATATTATGTTTTTTTGAAACTTGATTATTAAATATTATATTTTTTTGGAAGGCAAGTTAATTAGATGTAAGAATTATGAATTGAAAAATGGTGTTTGTGATATCTTTGAAGTAGCACAAAGCTATATTGATATTGAAAAATCAAATATTGTTTGTGCATTTTTGGTTTACATTCAAAAGCTAAGAATGGACAAAGTCAAATTTTTTGACGATTCACTCCATGGAACGTACCTGTTTCAATAGACTCTATGTTTTTATTATAGACATGTCACATTTCCATAAAATATGAAATTAGAAATCAGATTTTTTTTAGGATGTTGGTTTGGAACGAGAGTGAGGACAAAACTTTTCTTGATGCATGTATCCATGAACTAACCACTAATGGTCGTGAGGGTTCTGGGCTTAAGGCAAGTTCATGGAAGACAATACGCGAAAAATTGATAAACGAACACGGTAAAGAGGTTGATCAGAAGCAAATGAGAAACCACTTTGACTACTACAAATCAAAGTATGTTGCTTGGGTAAAACTGAAAAACAAAACCGGCAATATATATGATCCTATAAAAAACAAATTTAATTTGACCGATGAACAATGGAAGGAAGAGGGGAAGGTAATATTTTTATAATAAATACTAGTATGATTATTTTTTTAACATATACTAATATTTATAAAAATTGTAACAGTTGAACAAGTTCGTGTTGTCATTGAAAACTAAACCCCTGTTGTTTCCTGAACTTTGCACCCAACTATTTGAAGGGTCGACCTCAACCGACTTTCAAAGTTGGGGGCCATCTTCTACACTCCCTCGTCCTGTAGAAGAGTTTAGTGCCCATGATTTTGATGATGATGTTCCAATGGAAACCTCAACACAACATGTAGGTGCAAGTGAAGAATCTTCGGGGCGTTCAAAAAATACGGAAGTTGGAAACAAAAAAATTGGTGGGAAAAAAAGAGATGCAAGGGCATTAGAAGTTGAAGAGGAGATTGTCAAGCTTGCAAGGTCGTTAGTGGAAAAAAATGAAAGAATTGAAAAAAGTGAAATGGATAAGGATGTTGATGCGTGTATGGAGAAATTGAACAAAATGGAATGGGGAGAAGAAGATGAAAGACACAAGACTGCTCTTTTGCTATTTGGTGAAAGTGCTGATGTTAGAAAAGTTTGGTTACGACTTTCACATACTAGTTGTGAGTCGTGGGTGATGGGTGCGGGTAGGAAGTATGGTTACCTTTGATGGGTGCGGGTAGAAAAGTTTGGTTATTAGTTTTTTGTTGCACGACGTTTTGTTATTTGCATGACTTTTGGATCCTATGTTTGATACTTTTTTGGATGATACTTTGGATGATGTTATTTGCATGTCTTTTGGATGTTATTGGATATTGAATATGACGTTTACTAATTTTTTTGGTGCATGATTTTTTTTACTTTAACATGTTACCTAATTGTTTGTAACAGGTCAAGTATGGTTTCTGATGGTGAAGTTGTAGCTTTTCTTTTACTTGTGTTTTATTGGTTGAGGTCAAACCGACGCAGGCTAATCAGAATTCATAGAATTAGAGATAACGATTCAAGCGGGTATGCGTATACGCAAGATTTGATGTACGGAGACCCTACACAATGTTACGATATGATGCGTCTTACACAAGAGGCATTTGCATTATTATGCAACCATTTTACCCAAAAAAATTGGTTGCAAGCTAGTAAAACAATAAGCATTGAAGAAAAGATGGCTATATTCTTACATATTATAGGACATAATGAACGTTTTCGCGCGGTTAAGGGAAGATTTCATCACTCCACACAAACGATTCATCAATGTTTTCACGAGGTCCTAACTGCAATGATGTGTTTTGCAAAAGAAATTATAGTACCAACAACTCCTAATCCAACAAGACATAACTCGGAACGATATAGACGGTTAAAAAATATTTTTTCCGGTGCAATAGGTGCATTAGATGGAACTCTTGTACATGCGGTTGTACCCGTTGATCAACAAACTCGTTATAGGGGACGAGGAAAAGGAGAATGTTTTCAAAATGTTATAGGAATTTGTGATTTTGATATGATATTCACCTTTGTTTGGGCTGGATGGGAGGGTATAGCACATGATTCAAAAGTTTTGAAAGAAGTTGCATTCAACTCGACTTCTGGATTTCCATTTCCTCCACCGGGTTTGTAATCTTTATATAACTTTTATTATCTATCTTTTTTATATAATATGTGTCACATTCATTTGCAGATAAATATTACCTTTGTGATGCCGCATATACAAACACTCGTGGGTTTATGGCTCCATACCGCAATACTAGGTATTGGTTAGCCGATTTTCGAAGAGGCAGACCTTTAACTAGAGAAGAAAGGTTCAATTATGCTCATGCACAACTTAGAAATGTTATTGAGCGTGCTTATGGTGTATTGAAGGCGAGATTCCCAATCTTAAAACAAATGGCTCCTTATCCTTTTATAGTGCAAAGAGACATAGTCATTGCTTGTGTCGCGGTCCATAATTTTATAAGGAAATACAATATAGAAGATGACTTGTTTAGAAATTTTGAGGAGGACACTATGGTTACTCCTGACGTCCAAGGTGGGGGAATTGATAGAGAAAACATACAAGGCATAGAATGGGGTCCAGAAGCCGTTGAGTATATGCGTGTTTTGCGTGACCAGATTGCAAATCGACTACTTTCACCTACTTTACATTAAATTATTATCTTATTTTAAATTTCATTATGTTTTTATTTGGATATTAAATGATTTATGTTTAATTTACATTTTGTATGACATTTTTTATTTGTGTGTAATTTACATTTTGTATGACAATATGTATGTTTTTATAATTATTCAGCAACTTAATTCATCACTATATATAACAGCAGGGTAAAATGGTCATTTTTCATCACTCAACACATTCAGTCAGATGTACAATCAAACAACATGATTTCTTACTCAGTCAGGATTTCTTTCCCAGACAGACATTTCCCAGTCAGCACTTTCTCAGTCAGCAACTATCAAACGGGGCCTAAGACTCATTTTTTGGCTATTTTTTGATAAGTCATTAACAATTATGGCTAGATTAGTAATTTTCCAATCTTTGATTTGTCTTTCAAATGTCCAACATCATATATAACAGAAGAAAACATGACAACACATATGTTCATACCATGTTAATCTCATTTCGAATTTGAACAAGAACACTAACCCGACACGACACGATGTCGTATTTTTACAATAGGCACAATCATAAATTCAAATTTTAATTTCGTCATAATTTCGTTTCGTGTCGTGTCATCGTTTGTCACCCATAGTTTTTGGGGAGCTTTTAAATGTTAGTTTTATGTAATTTTACACTTCTAAAAGCTTCTGACTAGTTTGTCGAACACTTCTACACAAATAGAAGCTCCAACTTCCGGATTTAGTTAGTTTGTCAAAAACGCCCTCGATGTATACACTTAATTGAAATTTATTTGTAATTTAAATATTAATAATATGTACATTACCTACCACACCACACCCAGGTCTCGTTTGATAGTTTCTGATTGAGAAAGTGTGGAAAGATCTGTCGGGGGTAAGGGGTAAGAAATCCTGACTGAGTAAGAAATCATGTTGTTTGATTGTACATCTGACTAAATGTGCTAACCGATGAAAAATGACCATTTTACCCTGCTACTCTACACAGTGATGGAAGAAGATGGAAGAAGTTGCTGAAGAGTTATAAAAACATATATTTTTAAGCACAAATTTGATTCAACATTTAGAACAAAACATACATATAATACTTTTGTACCCAAAATACCCCTTCTACCTACAGTGTTTAAACATGGATCTAGCTAATTCCACTACCTGTGTAATCATGATTACAAAAGGGGAATCAATCAAAGTTTATGAAAATTGGTCATTTCAAAGTTCATATGATATGGCAGTTTATATCATACCATGGTCAAAAATCTTGAATCCCATTAAGTGAATCATACTCTCTTTAAACATCTCAGACCACCCAAAAACAAGCTCAATGGTAATTTTAATTTCTGTTTTTGTTAAACTGAAGATGTATAGGATACACATTGATTTAAAACTGCAGTCCAAATACACAAATGCACAACAAATATCATCTACATCTTAATTTCTGTTTTTGTCAAATACACACATTGGGAATATGTTGACCTTTTATGGTCAAATAAGACCTTTTTCAAAGAAGACGAAAATCAAGATCTAGGAAGAGTACTGGGTTAAATTACCAAACAACTTTAACAAAAACAAAGCTTTAATCTTAAAAAATAACATAAATGTATGACCCATTTCATTGCTAAAGTCATAATATCACCAACTTTCGATGATACAGAAAGGAAGATTTGGCCACAAAAGTCAACCAATTATATTGAATTGGGGAACAAGATTTTGAACTTACTTCTTCATACGTTTCACCCTTGGCTCTCAAAAGAACAAGAAAAACACTTATCAGCGATTCATTGGCATCTTGCAACAGAAAATCAAGAGACTCCTCCGCCTCTGCCTCCTTTAAGTTCTTTCTATCAATCAACGACTCAATCAGCTACACCCAGCAAAAATTAAACAATTACACAACATATAATTAAAGAAAACATTAACCCATGAACAAAATACAAGTTAAAACCTGGGAGAAAGACGTTGTTTTGGAAATCGAAGTGGTCGTCGGTTTCAGAAGTTGCGTCTTCAGAAGCCCTGCGCTTTACCTCAATTTCATGAAATCGATTTTATGAATCGAATCCATACAATCGAATAAAGAGGAAGACGACCGTTGGTGTTGGAAGGAACTGATCAATCGTTTGAAGAAGATAGCGAACATGCGTCAAGGGGGCAAGGGTAAATTGCGTCCGCTTCTTTTTCTAGCGGACCAGCGGACCGAATCAGATCGTTCTTACCGAGTCAGACGCCAAAAGTTTGGATCAACAAACACTTTTTGCTGACCGCGTCCGACCCGACTCGACGCATATCAAACGGGCCCTAGTCAACATTTTTGGACTTGTTCTACTTTTATGCTTTTATATTAAAAAGATTTTCAACTAATACTTAAAAGCTTATGTTTTTATGATTTACAAAAAAGATATGAGTAAAAGGTATTTATATATTGGGAAACGTTCAAATAAAAACTACAAAAATATTTGGAACCTTGAAAAACGACCATTCAATAGTATTAGATCATAAATACCGTAACATGGTTTGCGTATTAAGTTGTGAAAATCTGTAAAAAGAATATGTCACGGTATTCATAGTTTAAAGAACCGTGTTAGAGTATTCACTTACACCATGTTTTTGAGTTTTTTTAGGGAAAGAAATGGAAGGATTAAAAGTGGATAACATGTTCTCCAATTTTTGTAGGAAGGGAAAAGAAAGCACATAATACGAAAATCTTAGTTTTTTTATACACAAAGTCATTCACCCAATTTTGGGTGGATTGGGAGGGAAAGCAGATAATGACCGATTTTACCCTTACCTCTTTTCTCCACCCGAGAATTCATCTTCCTTCTCACAAAAATTCATCTTCCTCTCACATTGACCCACACCATAAAACTTGTTTTTCATGTTCATTCTCACAACTTCTTCCTTAACACTTCCAATGAACATGGTGAGGGTTGAAATCACCATCTTCTTTCCTTCTCACAACATACTCCTTGTCATCAAGACATCCTCTTCTTGAACCATCCTTCTCCTTGGACTTACCATCTCCATCTTCTCTCTTTCCTCTTCTCTTTATGATGAAGCTGATGAATCTTAACCAAGGATAAAAACGTCATTTAATCGTGAAATTTCTCTCCATCCCCTTGCAATTTGAGAACACCTATGATAATTCTTTTTGTCATTCCATACCTCTCTCTCTCTCTCTCTCTCTCTCTCTACTTTTTACATTCAATAACAAGGCGTTAAACTATGAATGGTCGGTTGTTCCTAACCTTTTTACGGTTCTTATTAGATCTTTTGTGTTTCTATATTTTGATTGGGTTTGATGTAAATATAACCTTGGAAACTTTGCGAAATATATCGATAATCTTTAGATGATTTTCGTTAATTTATCCTAAACATTTGACAACATACAAAGGTCCGAAATATGTTGCTTTTTTAAAATTGGGGTTCTAATCAAAACTCTAAAATTCATTTATCTTTACGTGTTATTATATATATCCTAGTCTAATATACTCTAGTCTAAATATCCATATTTATTAACTAATCATTTCCATCGGTTTTACTATTATTTAAATGTTTTAACTATTATAAACATAATATTATATTTGTTATATTACTATAATAGTATAAATATAATTATAAAAAAATATCTGGAACTAATACTCTCCAATCTTGTGTCTCTTGTAATGATTGTAAATATAACATAACAAAAGTATATAATTTAAAAAATGTTTCACATAGGCAGAAATGAATTATATTGTAACAATGTGTCATTAACTATTATATAGTTATAAATGAATTATATTGTAAGCTTTTACAAATCATAGCATTACTTTTTAGAGAAATTTACAAATTTAGCCACATTCCTTAATGTCTTTCACTAAATAGACAAAAAAAAAACATTTTTCATAAAATAGCCAACGAAATCATAAGTGATTAAGCTTACTTGCGATTTCAACCTTCGTAGTTGCTATCTCAACTGGGCTACGAATTTGGCCCATTTTTGGCTCATGGGCCGAAAGTATATAAATCTCAAAATCTGGAATAATCCTTATTTTTACATTTTCAACTTCAAGAAATTCTCTCAACCTTCTCAATGACTCAAAATCAATATTCACCAAAAAAAATATATAAGTACATCGGAAATCGCAGATAAATAAAATAAAATAAAAACAATATATGAGGAAATCGCAGGTGGCCCTAGGCTATCTGCGATTCCAAGAAAAAAGTCTTTTATATGGGATGAAACCACCGACAACTACAGTGGCTATTTTTAGAAAAAACTTGATTTTTTTTTTAAATGATTAAATCATTAAGATATTTAGCTAAATTTGTAAATTTTTTAGCTTTTCATATTCAATGGTACGAAAACACTAGCGATAGCACATTTATGTTGTGGGTGAGATATTCGGCGCATTACGAATGCGGCGCCTAAATCAATTTTAAGTAATAAATTGTATAAAATAGATTAGGGTGTAACTGTAAATATAAAATAGATTAGGGTGTAACTGTAAATATAAAAACCCTTATCATCCTTTCAAGGCTATCTTATGCATACGTCATCAATTATTCATCACCAAAGACATAAATCAGCAAATCGCAACACCAAAAGAGGTTTGATTCCTTTCTGGTCCTTTTTCGTCTGGGTTGATCCAAATTGACCAAGCATTCAGAAAAGATTCCACTTTGAGTATTTCGTTCATGTGGTTATTTTGCACAAATACTTCCTTGAAACGAGACGTGATTGAATCCCTATAAATTCGAAGTCAGACTGTTGTTTAGTTAAGAATCGAGCAAGAATTGACTTTTTAGTCACTCAAGGATCGAGGGTTTTGACTTGGGGGTTCAGTTAGATACAGTTTCTTCGAAGCTATGGAGGCTTATAAAAGATGGGTCCGGAGGAACAAGGAGTATGTTCATTCGTTAGAGTCTCTTGCTAACGTAAGCCTACTGAATATCTTGTAATATAAATTTTTTTCTTCAAAATTCATCTGTTCTTTGAGGCTTATTGATAGTTGCTTTTGCGATTTGGGAATTGTAAATCGTTTTTGATAGTGTGTGTTATAAATCTACAACATTTTGTCCCAAGTTTTAGTTGGGATGGAGTACAGACTACAGATGATGATAACAGGTTTCTCATTAAGGGAACGGAAAATTACTAACTTTTTAGTTCGTTTAAAACTTCTTTTTTTATTGTAAATCATTATGAACTATTTCCCTATTAGGATTTAAGGTATTTAGTTATTTATTTTTACATATTATGCTATTGTTCTAAGTTGTTTTGTCATATAAGGATTTAAGGTATTTAAAATACGCCATTCACTGTTCAGGGATTGACATGGCTTCTGCCAGAGAGATTTTCCGAGTCCGAAATCGTACCAGAAGCAGGTTTTGTGATATTTTGGTAACATTTGCCTTCTTTTTTTTATCATCTTTAAGGCCAAAACAGAACAGATTGTAATAAGTTTGTCATACATTGGACTGACAATACATACAAGTACATGTACTGTGTTTGTACTACATTGGATTGAGGCTAAGAGTGTGACTGTTGTCAATTACATTGGATTGAGGCTAAGAGTGTGACTGTTGTCAATGGGACAAAAAATGACAAAAGTTTGTCGCACCGAAAAGACGTAAATACCCTCCTCATCCTCATCATCCAAAATATCCCTAAAATCTTGTTCTGTACAGTAAAGTAAAGTCCAATCCCGTTCCATGTAACAAAATCAATCCAAAAATAACATTTTTTTGACACATGAAAAGTCAAATATAGATGTTTAAAAGTCAAAGTGGACTCTTTATGACTTTTTTTTTTTGTTATGCAGTAACATCGATATTGGGTATAGTGACTGCTGTGAATGAACATATAATTGAAACGACTCCAACAAATCCATCCCAAATGCATTCAAGACATATGGAGGCGTCTTCTTTTCCATATTCTTTGTTTTTGACTCTGATGAAAGATGTGGAGACTTTGGTTGAAGTTGTGGCACAACATTTCTATGGAGATGACAATAGATGGAATTTCCTTGCTGTTACAGAAGCCACAAAGTAAGTAGTGCCTCTCTATGACCAATTTCTTATTGAAAAAGTCAACATTTGACTTTTAAGAGAGTCAAATCTAGTTCTTTCAAGACTCAAAGTTGATATGCATTCTTTCATAGATTTAGCATCAGATCTTTGCATAAGTAGTGTTTCATACACGCTCTGATGTATTATTGATAATTTTTCGAAATTTAAAAAAATTGTTTTGAATTTTCAAAGTCAAACAGTGGACCGTTTGACCTTACAATGTCAGCTGTCAAACTTGACTTTTTTTTTTGCTCCAACCCAACACCAAAACATATTTTTACACCAAGTTTGGTGTTAAATCAACTACAAATCACTGTTTCTTACACCACATTTGGTATTAAACTTTCCTTTTACTATCTGTTCCTTCAACTCTGAATGTTATGTATTTTTAGTTCATTATATGTATAATGATACTTCATATGTTATTTGTTACTTTGTGTCTTAATGTATTATCCTTGATTAGGATATTTATAGTTTATTATATGCAAAATTCCAAAGTTGGTGTTAAATTTTTTCCTATGTATTGAACAAAATTGACTCTTTTACCCATGATCAGGGTACTAGCTAGATTAGCTTTATTGCGAAATAGTGGGTACAAGATGTTATTGCATGGAGGGGAGACAACGAACGATGGGAATTCTACAAATGATGGGGAACAACAGGGGCGTTTATTGCAGCAGCAGGGGCAAAATGGTCATTTCACTCCTCAAGGAAGAGCTCTCTCTGCAATGAGTAGGTTCGGTGAAAATGCCCGTATGCTTTCCGATCCAACATGGTTTCGCAGGGTCGAACATCATCAACGTGCAGTTATGGAGCTTCCAGGTAATTTTCAGTTTCTTTTAGGAATTGGTTTAAATTCAAGAAATAGCAATGTTGTAATATATATATGAAAGTTTTTGTTACTATTTCTTGTATTTAGCAATTTTAGTTGTATGGCTTATGGCTTACAGAAACGGAAATAAAGAGACCTACAATGTCGAGTTTTTTGTCGGAAAAGGGTATTTCTGGAAGTTTATTTTTGATGGGGGAAGTAATGTTCATTGCAAGGCCGCTTGTATACGTTCTTTTGATAAGAAAATATGGAGTCAAATCATGGCTTCCGTGGTTGGTTTCTTTGTCTATTGACATCATCGGGATGACTTCATCAATCACATGTCAGAAAGACCCCGAACTTCCTCTATCCGATCCCGAGAAGGACGAGGTAAACATATCCTTAAAAAGTTTTATGCAGTTTGCTATGATGAAGGGTATTTTAGTCATTTGACAAATAGTCAAAGACTTGAAACGGTTCCCTTCTACTTACTAATTTGTTCCGGTTTGATTAAAATGCAGTTGAGAAGGCGGAAATTGTTGTTGGCACTTTACCTCATGAGAGATCCGTGTTTCGCGAAATACACACGGTATAAATATGATTTGTAAAATCGTTTTATTTTGTTTGATTTTTGAGATGGGATTTTGATTTGGAAATTGGTTGGCTTTGTATTGTCAGGCAAAGACTCGAAAGCACGGGAAAAACATTGGAGCATGTCCCGGTTGTTGGGTTTCTTACAGGTTTGTTGTTTTTGAATAACCGATGATGAGGATGAGGAGGGCGTTTATGTCTTTTGCACAGAGCGAGTCCCAGTCCCACATTTTTGGCGGGATAAAAAATTGCAATTTTAGTCATATTGGCATCAATCAAAAGTCCGAGTTTCACTTTAACGGGAGCCGAGCCAAATACAGTACAATCTGTCTACTCAAAGTCAACTCTTTTTACATTGAAACTCTCACACATCAACTTTTTAATCATTAAGCCTTTTTTTTAATGGGTTTAATATATATTAGTTGATAATTTTTTTTTGTAAATTAAGTATAAATTTTCTTAAATCATATTACTATTATTTATCATTGTTTTTATTTATATATTTAAACTTATTCTATTTTCATTGTTTAAAAATCTTCTAGTTCTTTTTAACATGTACGGATTACCAAATATGTGGAAAACATCGAGTCAAATTTTTTACTTTACAAATTGTGAGAACAACTAAAAAAGGTATATGTCATCCATTCTTTTACCATCTTAAGTTAAATGACAATCTCCATTTAAAAAAACAATCAAAAAAGATACATGGCATCCATTCAATAAATAAATTATGTTTTATAGCTCTTTTTTATTTTACAATAATAAAAGTATATCGACATACATCACATATACTTGGTAAATCACAGTTTTTATATATGTACAATTGTTTTATACAATAAATATTAATAAATAAATTTTTGTCAAATATCAATAAAATTTGACTAAGGGGTGTTTTTTTAGTAAATTATGTGTTTATTTAGCCAATCCCTTTGTTATTTTCTTGTGTTTTGCAGCAAAGTTGATTGAACTTTTGGTTGGAGCCCAAACACGTTACACCTACATGTCTGGTTCTTGATTCATGAATGGAACAAAATTGTATGTTATGTTTTTCAAACTAGTTTAAGCAAACATTCGTATGATTTGCTTTGCTTGTGAAATTCGGAGAGGATGATGTATTCGAGGTAATCCATGGATCATTGTATTGTAAATCTATCTTATACGTACAAGTTATTTGTTGAAATCATCGGGTCTTCTTGTTTTCATATTGAAATGGCTGCAATGTATGTTTGTAATTTCGTAAAACAATAGCAACATTTTTTTTTACATCATTCACCCTTTTTGTTTTAACTTTTATGAGATGTTGCATCCCTTGCCATTCTTGAGATTTGGCAGGAATAGGATAGTTAACATGAAAACATTCTCAAGTTCAATATCATCCTTTAAGTCCATAATGTTTGTAATATCCCAAAGCAGTAGCAACATATAAAACAATTCTAGAACAAGAAGATCAAAATGCAGTATGTTTATGTACTGTTGGTCTAAATGCATCTTTTTGTGTTGTTCTTTCATGTAGTGGACTAGTGTCTAATTTCCAAGTAAGGGGTGCAATAAACAACATTCTGTTAGAACTACGTTTGGTTCTTATGACGAATCTCTACTATTTCATATTCTTTCATAATTGATTTGAAATTACTATTTTATCCTTAACTGTTTTTTTATTATTTACTTTTTTAATTTAAATTAATATCCAGAAAACTGAATCAGATCTAACATTACCATCCGCTACATCCCTTCCACAACCACCACCACCACCGGATGCCCCATCATAAAAATAAAAAAATAAAAAATCTGAAATCTAAAATTTGTCATAAAAAATCGTCAAGAACCATGGATGAAGCTTGAAATCTGAAATCCATTATGTTTGTTCATCAAGGTTCGGAAGGCGATTCAAGAACCCACACACACACACATGGTTTCGGTCTTCCCTGAGGCTAGCCCTTGCCGAAGCAAATTAGGGTGTCAGTTTCAAAAATGAAACCCACACAAGATTTCAAATTCCATTTATGGGGTGAGTTCTTGATCTTGTTTCTCCCTAGGATTCTATGTTTGTTTTGGGGTAGTTGTTTTTTTTTTAACATTAGTTAAAAGGAAAATATAAAATCAATTAAAAAGGGTATGATTGTCATTTTAGTTGTGTAAAGAACCAACCACACAAAAAATAAAATGACGTTTGGGACCAATCTCGGAAAAGTATGGTCTTTTTTCTAACATGTCTCGAATCCAGGAAATTGATGCAACAAATAATACTAGGAAATTAGTACGACAAATAATACTATTAAGGTGGGCCGGTATATACCAAACAATTTTCATTAGTTGGGTACATATTTTAAAGTATAATGTCATATGTAAGAAAAAATTTGAAAGTATAATTTTCTAATCGTTAGAAATTTTGAAGTACAATGTGTTAATTAAAAGATAATGGAAGCATCTAAAAGAAATGAAAGAAGTTTCCAATCTCGTTCCATGTAACAAAAACATCTCAAAAGTAATATTTTTGGACACTTAAAAGGTAGAATATAGACGTTTAAAAGTCAAAGTGAACTCTTCTTAAGATATTTTTTCTTGTTTTCATTATATATGCATTATTGTCGATATTGGGTATAGTGAGTGTTGTGAATGAACATATAATGGAAATGACTCCAACAACTCCATCCTAATGCATACAAGACATATGGAGGCCTCTGGACATATATTTTCCCGCCAAAACATATTGATGACATCATGATGATGTAGACATCGATTGTGTCCAATAACTACCCTCTTTTAACACCAATTTGGTGCAACCAACATTTAACCACTTTCCTTCCTTGTATAGATGCAAGGTGAATGTTCCACGAAAAGGGTTGATAATTTATATACATGGAATTGATCGTGAACAACTCTCTATCTCTCAAGAACACAAATCATCACAAGGTATTGCGTGTTTTATAAGTTTGGATCAGGCCTATAATCCAAATAAGATTTTTTGGATTATCTCACTTCTGAATTCATGTAATCATAGAGTATAAGGGACAAATTAGAGATTTCAAAAAGGGATATAATCACGATCCAAGTAATATCCAAGTGTTATTGTTATTGAAATCCTTATATCTAACATTTTATAATGTCAGTCCTTCAACTTTGAATGTTATGTATTTTTAGTTCTTTATTTTAATAATGATATTTCATATGTAATATTTTTTATTTACTTCATGTCTTTATGTATTTTCTTTGTATAATATTATGTATTTTTAGTTTATTATATGCAATACACCAAAGTTGGTGTTATTTTTTTCTATGTAATAAAATGCTCATTTTGTAAGTAGGATAATTTGTTCGAATTTAATTATATGCGAATAATTTCCTTTGGTTATTATTGTCTAGTTATAGTCTATAAAGCTAGTGGAATAAAAAAGAAGTTGTGAATCAAATTTGTAAAAAGCTAATAAATATAAGAGTATTATTCAAAATCCATATAATTTAGAAAAAAATTATATATACTTGAAATGTTCTTTTTGGTGTTAAAAATGATGTTATGGTTTGGAGATGAATAACTTTTTACACTAAAATTTACATTATTTTGGTGCAAAAAAAGGTGCAAATATTGTGTAATGGTTTGGATATGGTTTTAAGTATGCTTGACATCAAAAGAGTCGTCGGAACTGTGAGAGTCTAATGTAATTTTTTTCAAGGCTCAAAATGGATATGCATTCATTCATAAGAGTAAATTACACGAGTGGTCCCTATGGTTTGGGGTAATTTGCGTGTTTGGTCCCTAACTTATTTTTTTAACTCGGGAGGTCCCTACTATTTGTTTTTAATACGTGCTTGGTCCCTATTGTTTGTTTTTGTTACGTGGTTGCTCCCTATCTTACCTAAAAAGATTATTATTTAAATAGGGAAAAATTACGGGGTAAGTAAGGTAAGATGAGGGGGTGGGGTTGGGGTCTGTTTGTTTTTAATAAATTAAAAAATCAGGGCAAAATAGTCTTTTACTTAAGATAGGGACCAAGCGCGTAACAAAAACAAACAGTAAGGATCTTCCGAGTTAAAAAAATAAGTTAGAGACCAAACATGTAAATTACGCTAAACCATAGGGACCATTCGTGTAATTTACTTCATTCATAATTTAGCATAAGAGTCTTCCTTAAGTTGTGTTTTATATACAATGGTGACAAAATTACAAAAATGGTCCCTATGGTTTGCCAAAAGTCACAAAGTCAGTCTCTGCTATTTTTTTTTACGAACATGGTCCATGTGGTTTCCAAAACTTGCATCAATGGCCCTTTTTGCTGACGTCGTTACTGTTCATCCGTTAGTGTAAGGGTATTTTGGTCTTTTCAAGTATCAAGGACTGGGTTTGTGACTATGGGTAAACCATAGGGACCATTTATGTATATTTTTTCTATATTTTATGTTTATGAGTTTGTGACTTTTCCACCCATTTACTTTTTAAAATATCACTTTGAACCCTTCACTTTGAACTTTGAAAAATGTTACTTTCACCCCTCTATTTTCTAAATTTTCGTGTTTAACCCCGTATTATATATAATTTGTTTTTTATTAATAACTTTCGTTCGCTAACCTAAAAAAACTATTTTTACGTGTTTATTTTCATATATTTGTCGGTATAATTCAAGGTGATCAACGTTTCGACTATAATTAGAACTTTCTTTCGTTATTTTTTTTTAAAGTTACATGGTTTTTTTTATAAAATTGTCGGTTTAAATTCGAGCTTATTTTTCGACGTAGTTTTTTTTTTTAACTTTATCTACGTTTCCTACGTATGAGACGAGTCATATATAATAACTTTCGTTTGTTAATTTTAAAAAATATATTATATTCGAGATTGTCTATGTTTTGATGTATTTTTTATACATTTTGTGCTTAATTTTATATACATCCCTACGTATCATTCGGGTCATATATAATAACTTTCGTTTGTTAGCTTAAAAAAATGTAGTATATTCGAGTTTGTCTATGTTTCGACCTAACTTTTGTTTCATGTTTTTTACGTATCAATATAGATTCGAGTTCGTCTATATTTCGACGTAATTATTTTTTGTTTCGTGCTTATTTTTATGTACGTGTTTTTTTTCATTCATGTTTTTTTTACGTCGAAATGCAACTTTTATGACTATAATCACCAAAATTCAACTTACAAAATTTCGACGTAAAAAAACATGAAATAAAAAAAATACGTACATAAAAATAAGCACGAAACAAAAAAAAATTACGTCGAAATATAGACGAACTCGAATCTATATTGATACGTAAAAAACATGAAACAAAAGTTAGGTTGAAACATAGACAAACTCGAATATACTACATTTTTTTAAGCTAACAAACGAAAGTTATTATATATGACCCGAATGATACGTAGGAATGTATATAAAATTAAGCACAAAATGTATAAAAAATACATCAAAACATAGACAATCTCGAATATAATATATTTTTTAAAATTAACAAACGAAAGTTATTATATATGACCCGTCTCATACGTAGGAAACGTACATAAAGTTAAAAAAAAAACTACGTCGAAAAATAAGCTCGAATTTAAACCGACAATTTTATAAAAAAAAAACCATGTAACTTTAAAAAAAATAACGAAAGAAAGTTCTAAATTATAGTCGAAACGTTGATCACCTTGAATTATACCGACAAATATATGAAAATAAACACGTAAAAATAGTTTTTTTAGGTTAGCGAACGAAAGTTATTAATAAAAAACAAATTATATATAATACGGGGTTAAACACGAAAATTTAGAAAATAGAGGGGTGAAAGTAACATTTTTCAAAGTTCAAAGTGAAGGGTTCAAAGCGATATTTTAAAAAGTAAATGGATGGAAAAGTCACAAACTCATAAACATAAAATATAGAAAAAAAAAATACATAAATGGTCTCTATGGTTTACCCATAGTCACAAACTCAGTCTCTGCTACTTGAAAAGACCAAAATACCCTTACACTAACGGATGAACAGTAACGGCGTCAGCAAAAAGGGCCATTGATGCAAGTTTTGGAAACCACAGGGACCATGTTCGTCAAAAAAAATTAGCAGGGACTGACTTTGTGACTTTTAGCAAACCATAGCGACCATTTTTGTAATTTTGTCTATATTGGTGGATGGTTGCTCGTAAAACCAGAGTGATTGACTTTACCTTAACAATTACTTTTTTTTTTATACTTTCTATGCCCCATAATTTTCATCAAAAGTCAGTTCATTAATTTAATATCTTATTGAATCTTATTTGTTGAAATTTTCAAATTTTAAAGTTACAATTTCTAGCCTCATGATATCGCAGGTCTTATACAATTCTTATTTTCCGATTCAATACTAGAATCCTACTTTATGTTATAAATGTTTTTTATTTTTTTCTTTTTGGCTTTTCGTTAAAATGTTATAACTATGCACATTAAAAGGACATCAATTTACACAAAAACAAAATATAAATGGAAGTTGTGCGGATTAGGGATGTCAACGGGACCAAACGGGAGCGGAATTGTTGCCCCCGCCCCCGCTCCCGAAATCAGTTGTTGTCCCCGCCCCCGGTTACCTCCATCGCACCCGGTCCCGCCCCCGTACCCCCGGTTTGTAGGCTTAAAATTCGATATTTTTTTCTAAAAAATTGCTTTGTTTTAGGCTAAAAATACTATTTTTAATAACTTTAAAAGCTTAAAACCTAATCTTTTAGAAACTATAAAATTAAAAATCCAACATTACAAAACGACAATTCCAACAATCTTGCAAGTATAAAATACGACAAATCCAACATTACAAATATAATATACTTACATGTCCAAAAATATATGATCAATTCACTACATCTTCAATATCCATTAGTTGGAAACGGGAAAGTGAAACCTAACCTAAACCTAAAATTAAAAAATCTATTTTGTATATGTATTTTATATTAAATATATATTTTTTACTGCGGACGAGGATGGCGAAGCAAAAAGGGTAAGTGAGAACCAACCAATTCATACATATCCAAAAAAGACGGTTTTTAACATCTTGAAACCGTTCCACATAAGCAAATTCTATTGTTAATTATAAAAACAAAGACACGAATGCTAACAAATATTTCACTCATTTAGTCATTTATTCATGTGGGAAGTACCACATGTTGGCATTAAATGAAGTTGCTTTTTCTACTTGTATCACTTTCAGAATATCTCCCATATTGTGACCTTGTAATAGACCTTGCCCCCGCACTCGTTTTTCAACAACACCATACTTTAAGTTGCTAAGAAAAGATGCATATTCTCCAACTGTCTTTTCGTGTGACACCCATTTATTTCATTTCCCCAAAATCTAGTTCTTGAAATCTGTACCGATTTTTTTGAATGGGACCCCATGATATGAATGTTCTCATTTGGTTGAACGCGATCCATCACACAAATGTTGTCACCTGAACTTACAAGCTGTGAATACTGGGAGGGTTTTAAAGAGTTCTTGGTTTCAAGTAAAGTCAATTTGGGCTCTGAATTAAGTCTCTGTTCATATAAACGATCACATAAAAGATTATTAAAGTTTGTGTTTAGGGTCCCTATATATTTTCCCCTTGAAAACACATATATCAGTGAAGATGGAGGTGATGAAGAGATTATTCCATGCTCCACTACCCGCTATAGAAAACCACATTTGACATTTCAGTCGAGTACACAGGGATAGAAACACCCACCCACATATTGAAAGTGTAAAGACAAGGATAGCCCTGCCTTGTGATAGGGAAGGGTTAGTAACTCATGCCTTGTGATAGGGTTCACAAGCCAGAACACACGTACGGGGTGTCTTCTTGTCTTGAAAAAGATCAAGTAACCACAAGTTAATCCAACACAAGCCCCACCATCAAAACAAGGGAGGAGCCTTCAAAGTCTTCTAAATGGCAGATTTTCTTACAACCATGCCATGAGATACGCATCTTCATGGGTGGTTTGGACGCCATAAACATGTTGCGGTTAGAGACTGCAGTTGTCCTCCATGACTTGCAAACTCCACCGAATGAAAGATAATCAACAACTCCTAGTTTCATCATAACTAAATAGAGCAGATGATGATTAAGATCTGACCAGGGTCCCGCATCACCATTGTCACAAGTTTTGAATCTCTTCATGGTAACGTAGATGATGCATCAGCATCACGATTCTGGTTTTTTCTACTTGTCCTAGCTAGCCCTTCATTCAATTGCAAAAGAAGATTAAGTAGTTGAGAGCTTGGTAAATGCAGATTCCACAAAAGATACAAAACGTGTTTAATGGTGTGCCTGATCGAAACTGATGATTGAGAAGCTTAAGCACCTAACAACTAATTGAAGATTTGTGGCCAACTTTGGGATTTTTTGCGATCACCGTATTTCATATATAGGTTAATAATGGTTCACGAACTTTGTGGGCCTCACAAAATGGTTGAGCTTTAGTGCAATTACGATGATATGTACTATTTTATTATTTTGGGCCTCAAAAAATATTTCTATATATACTGGTGTTTTGATATATGAAAAGCTTCAAGTGCTATATAACTAAAATGCCATGCTTCCCACCTACCTTATCATGTAAATCAGAATAACTCAAAATAATTGCAAATTAGACATTTCTACCACTTTGCCAATAGTTGAAAACCATTTGGGGGATGTTCCGACATATATTGTAATTTGGGTAGTGGTTGACAAATTTTGTCATACGCAAATATTAAAGGTTATTTCTTATTATCTTTTTCTTTATGGATTTTCCTTAACATTCTATGCTAGAATGCATACACTTAAGAAAAGAACATCAGTTTGCATGCAAACAAAATATAAATGAGAGTTAGGCCCGCCACAATGAAGCAAAAGTATGAGGGAGATCAAACTGTAAATATAGATCCAACAAGCTATGGTGGTTCTGAAAAGATGTTATATATTATACTCTATAAAAACAAAGAAAAAATGCTAACAAGTCTATCACTTATCTATGAGATCAACATTCAAATATTCATGGGGGAAGTACCACATGTTCGTAGTAGAAGGGCTTGCTTTTCTCACTTCTATCAGTTCCAACATTCAAAAAAATCTTAAACCAAATTCAAAATCCACCTTCAAATCAATAACTTTTATCATTTCCCAATTCAATAGCAACAAATCAACAATACCAAAATCCCAAAAATCTTAAACCAAATTCATGCAAATCCAACAATGGTGGTTCATAACATCTTAAAATGTTCCACAAACACAAACTCTATCAATCATCTACACGATCAACATTCAAACATTCATGGGGGAAGTACCACATGTGCGTAGTAAAGGAATTTGGTCTCTCTGCTACCATCAGTTTCAGCTTATCACCTGCATTGTGACCTAATAACAGACATTGCCCACCACTCCCCCAAAACATTGATGTCACAGCAACACCATGCTTCAAGTTGCTAAGAAAATACGCATTTTCTCCAACTGTCTTTTCACGTGTCACCCATTTCATTTCATCAAAATCTAGTTCTTGAAACCTATAGATGTCATTTGGATTATCCTTTGGTCGAAGGCAATCCATCACATACAAGTTCTCACCTGAACTTACAAGCTCCATCTCATGAAATTGGGGGGACTTCAAAGAATTCTTGGTTTCAACTAAAGTCAACTCAGGCTCAGGGTTAAGTCTGAGTTCATGTAGTTCGTGTGAATTACTACTGCGGTTGAAGTTTAGGGTATATATCATCCCCTTGAAAGCACGTAAATCAGTGAAGGATAGATCTGTGAAAGAGGCAGAATCCCAATCTCCTTCACCCGCTACAGAAAACCATATTTTACTCCAGAACTTACGTATTACAAGAAAGACCCACCGATGTAGTGAACGTGAAAAGACAAGAATACCCTTGACATCTAGTTCACTAGGGTAGTTGAACTCAGTGGGGAAATCAGGGAAATGGAGTTGGTGCCTTGTGATAGGGTTCACAAGCCAGAATTCACGGCTTGTCCTTGCAAAGAAGATCAAGTAACCAGAAGTTAATCCAACACAGACCCCACCAGCAAAACGGGGAAGAATGGTTTTCAACTTTTTTCCTTCAAAGTCTTCTAAATAGCAGGGTTTCTTATAAGAACGCCAAGTCACATGCAAGGTCATGGGTTGTTTGGAATCCATAAATGGTTTCTTGTTAGAGATTGCAAATGATCTCCATGACTTACAAACTCCCCTGAATGAAAGATAATCAAAAAATCCCAGTTGCATCATGACTACAAAAAGCAGCTGATGGTTAAGATCTGACCAATGTCCCCAACCACCATTGCCACAAGTCTTAACCCTCTTCTCGCTAGATGCATCATCATGATTCTGATTTCTAGTTGTCTTTTTTGGCTTATTCATTCCTACAATTACAAAAAGAAAAATAAATGTTTAGAGATCTTGTTAAATGAAATTTCGCAATAGGTCCAAAAGCAGTTGTGTTGTAAACAGGGTCAAGCATTCATGTATATGACGAGTACAGACGCTACCCTTTTCAAATAATCGAATCTTGTTAAGGAAGTAACCTCGTACAAATGTTCTAGAAGAATAACTGCATATCTACAATATGGAAAGTAAAGGAACTATACATATTCCCTAAATAACCTAAAGATGTAACATTTTAATACAAGAATATGCGATATCTACATGCCATGATATGACGCAAAGGTGATGGGGATTAAAAACTGCAAAAATGGGACCCCTCAAAGACGAAATCTTTTGCTAATTTGCAGGAACCCATTAACCCATATGCCAAAATATCAAATGCTTCCACAAAACTATAACATTTACAGGAATCTATTAAATATTAAATACCAATGACATTTTATTGAAGTTGTGAACAGATTGATAGAATGGTTTAGAGATATAGTAGTAAACATGGAGATTAGAGAAAAAAAGCCTCCAGAATACAAGTAATTCCAAAACCAGACACTATACAACATAAAATTAAGATGTAAACTCGACACAAATTACGAAACTGAAAGATGTTCTTACCGGATTGAAACTGAAGAGTGGGGAGACTAGCTAATCAAAACCCACGATTCCTCTCCGCTGAGTTTGACTGTTGAAGCAGAAGACGAAAAGAATCAAAGAGGGAGAAATCGGGAGGGTGGGATTTTGAGAGAGGAGATGGGCAGCGGGAACGACAACATATGAAAATTTTGGAAACGATTTTGGCTCTGAAACATTTTAATTTCTCCCTCCAAGTTGTTGCGTTGTTAACGGAAGGGTAGCGTGAAAAATTGGGGACGGTTTAGGGTTTTATTTTAGGATAAAACTACAAAATGATCCATGTGTTCGTATTTTTTTCGGGAACAAGTTCAAATCTTAAAATCCTTTTCAGCAAATGTCTTTGGTTGTGCTCGACAAAACTAGATGATAACATATATCTTATAGCAAATAGCATGTAATTGGTAGTTGATAACATTTTGTTAAACGCAACGCGATGTAGTTTTTGGATTTGAAGCGTTTTATTTAAAAATAAGCTAGAAGCTTTTAGTGTCAAACAATAATTTTTGTTCAAAACGGAACACTTTATCAAACGTTAGAAGCTAGAAGTTTTCAAACGCTTCGTGTCGAAATGCATGTTAGTTTGATCCTTGCCAAAATTAAAAAATCCTGACAAAATTGAAAAATGGTCCATGTGTTTATCAAAATCATATGGTTTTTGTCCAAAAATATTTTGTGGGCATCAGTGGTGGTCTAATATTAGATACCTTATGCGTTTTTGGTCTAAGAATGTTAACTTTAATAGCTTGACTGTTAACTTTTCTAAAAATGACAATTTTATCCTCAAAGACCATTTCTACAACCAAAATACAAGGACCATTTGTGCATCTTTTCTTTTTAATTTTATTCAATTATTATACATTAATTCTTCTAATTAATTCCTTTTTTTTTAATTATTTGATTAATTCTTTTTTATTGTATTATTTTACTGAATATTATTTTAATATATAATATTTATATATTAACAAATATTACTTTATTGGATTATTAATTTTATTTTATTAATTCTTTTTTAATGGATTAATTCTTTTTATTAGATTATTATATGTTAATAAATATATTTTTTAATATATAATATTTAAATATTAATAAATATTACTTGATTATATTATTAATTTCTTTTAAATAATTTTTTTATAATTTCTTTTTTATTGGAGTAATTCTTTTTTATTGGATTAATATATGTTAATAAATTTTATTTTTAATATATAGTATTTATATATCAATAAATATTACTTTATTGCATTATTATTTTCTTTTAGTTAACTTTCTTTAATTTCATTTTCATTAGATTAATTATTATTTTTTGGACAATACCACCACCATCCTAATTTATTTTAAAAAATCTCACCCATCCAATTACTATCGGACATGGTGATGGTAGTGGTGTTTGATGGGTGTCGAATCCATCAAAAAACAATTTCTATTTGCACATATAATTTAAAAATAATAATAGCAGTGGCAAACAAAGTCGATCATCAGGGACTCGGTTTTAATACATAAATACACCAAAATAATCATGTTTTATTCCAGTGCATATAAAGTAAATATGGAGAATTTGAAAGCAAATAAACTAAACTAACATACAATAAAATAAATACTAGAAATAAGAGTAAAACAATTCGGTTTCGAGTTCTATTCACATAATTGATGCAAGTTAATGACAAATCGATGTCAAATTGAATTATAGTCTAAGTTGTGTAACACTGTAACATCTGGTCCAGGTATGAATCAACTTTTATGTTTTAACTTTATTTGGGGTGGCCACGACGTGGCGGAGCGTTTTGGATCGCGGGTTTTAAATGACCCGCCACGACGTGGTCTTCGGGAACCACGACGTGGCAGGTGTTTGAGTGAAAAAAAAAACCCTAATTTCGGGCTTTGGACCCTATATAAAGAAAATTAAGGTTAGGGTTTCAGCCTTCATCTTCCTCCCAACCTCAGAAACCATAACCCTAGCCTACATTGAAGTTGTGAGCTAATTCTTGGTGCTTTTGGGTGATTTTTGAAGGAGAAGGAAGCTCTTGGTGAGGTGGTTGCTTGGCAAGCATCATTTATTCAGCTAGCATATCTCCTGGACCTTGGTGAGTGTCCAAGATTCAACCTTTTTCTTACCATGTTGCTAGATCTTTGGATTTTGTCCCCCTTTTGCATCTTTTGATGGATTTAAGTAATGTGATCTCATAAAGTTTGCAACTTTGTGAATCTCCAAGTCAAATTGAGCATTTAGTGTCTTGGATATGAATTATAATCAAGTTTTGACTTCATACATGGGGTATTGGTCATTAAACCTTATTTTTGACCTAAAATGGAAAAGGCATGCATTATGCACGCAGGTCTCTAAAGCCATGATTTTTAAGGTCCATTAGAAGCATGAAATCCTTCTGGAAACTTTAGAGGTGCAACTCTAAGGATTAGGTGCTTAATATGACTCTTGATGCATTAAGTTACCATTAAAGGTTAGGGTTGGGACTTTGGCTTATGGAGGGGTTGAGGGATAAAGTTTGAAACTTTACCCATCAAGACCATGGGAAGGACCAAATTTGAGCTTTGGAGCTCTTATAGTTGAAGGAAATGACTTAATGGTTTAAGCTTGTAACATCCCGATGATAAGGTACTTTAAATTTCAACCCTTTAATTCATTATATTGCATTTGCTCCCAAAGTTCAAGAATTGTATGCAAAAAGGGCATTAATGTCATTTTGGTAATTTAAGGCTTCGTAGTACGCCATGCGTACATGGTGTACGCTGAGCATACTAAGGAGCGCCCTAGTACGCTGGACGTACATCATATTACATTGGGTGTACTTCCTAAATGGGGAAACCCTAATTTTTAGGGTTTGGCTGATATTTAAGCATACTTATGGCCTCATTTCCCTTCACCTAAACAACATCAACCCTCTCATTCGTGTTTGAAGCCCTAGTTCTCTTTGGGAAGCCATTTCTAGCCTAAAAGTGTGTGTTTGTGTGCTTAGAAGGAGAAGGAAGAAGCCAAGATCATCTTTGGAGAGTTAAGCACTTTGGATCTGGGATTTACTCTTCATTTGCTACCATTCTAAGGTAAAAAGCTTGCAACTTTACCTTTGAATCATATAGATCTAGATATAGGTGTTTTAGTGAAGCTTTTTGGTCCCAAATGTCTTATCTTGAGCATGGAATGTTCTTGACGAGTTGAGTTGTCCTTTCAGACTCTGGGAGGGGTCCTAAGCCATAAAAATGAAGTCCCAATGGTTAGTTTTACTCCATGCATCTTGTAGAAGGTATTAATGGATTAAGACCTTGAGTTAAGCACTTATTGGGCATGTAAAGTCATAAAGTTGGAAACTTTTATGACTCTAGAGTGTATTTGAGCCTTAGATCTGAAATATAGACATAAGTGCTTAAGCCATTAAGCACTTATTGGGGTTTGAAGCATGCGAGAGTACGCCCCGCATACTCGTAGTACGCCCCGCGTACGAGGTCAACCACCCCGATGGTGGTCAACTGCGAGGGTTTGGAGTACGCTCAGTGTACCTCAGGAGTACGTCCTGCGTATGCACCCTGAGTTGGCTCGGTTGAGTTAACTCGGTTGGGTTGACTTGGCTGGGTTAACTCAGTTGAACTTATGGGTTTGACCAAGTTTGACTAAGTTTGGCCTTGAGGGTATTTTGGGTATTTTGGGATGTTGATGGAAATTGGTCATTGGTGGGAATAGGTACCGGTTAGAGAGCTGAGATTCGGAGTCGGGACCTCATCAGTTTCTGTTCAGTTTGGGAGGTGAGTTTTCCTCACTGTACTTACGGGTCTAAGGCACCAAGGACGGCCCATTGGTTTGATATCCTGAGATTCATTGATATGTTGAGTATGGAATAGATATGCATGATTATGCTAGTTATTGATATGCTAGTCTGGTAGATTTGTAGGACTACCTGTGGTTCTGTTGCATGATTATATGTATATGCTTATTATCTGTTATATGTCGACATATTGCGGTGGGTTGAGGTTGTACTGCTCCGTGCGGTAGCCAATAAACCCTGGAGCATTCCAGATATGAGTTGAGGGTCGGGTTGGGCATGCCAGACTCATACTGAGGGCTCATAAGCATTCCAGATACGAGCTGAGGACCGGGCGGTATGCCAGACTCGTACTGAGGGATTGATAGTATTTCAGTCGGATAACTGAGGGTCGGGTTGGGCATGCCAGACTCATACTGAGGGCTCATAAGCATTCCAGATTCGAGCTGAGGACCGGGCGATATGCCAGACTCGTACTGAGGGATTGATAATATTTCAGTCGGATAACTGATCTAGTCAGGGAGTAAGCCAGACATAAGTTGTGGGCCCGAGGGCAAGCCAGACATAAGTTGTGGGCCCGAGGGCAAGCCAGACTTATGATGTGGGCTCAGGGGTAATCCAATCTTTAAGTTGTGGTCCCATTACATGTTGTTATTGTATATATGTTATGTGGTTATGTGTTGGTACTTTAGGAGAACTCACTAAGCATTTGCTTACAGTTTAGTTTATTGTTTCATGTACTTCGAATGATCGTGGGAAGGCGAAGACGTGACCGTACACATCCTCTTGTTTATGGTTTATATATATCCTAACATTTGACTTTTAAAGTAATCTCAATAACACATCATATCGATGTGGGTGAAGGCTACATGAGAGGATCCGATGAGCAATGATGACATGCTGACAACTAGCCGCTATTAATTACTCAAACATACGATTATTAGTGGTGTGTCGGAGATTGATCTGCAAATACTTTCCAACGAATGAGTTGGTTTTTGATATATAAATATGGAAGATAGTGGGGTAAAGCATATATGGGTACGAATAAGATACCATGCATTAGAGATACCCATGGACATGAGAATTAGATCAAAAAATGTTCGTTCTTCTCATGTCAAAGTCTAGTCAATGCTAGTTTAAAAAAAATCCAGACCCATCTAAGGTTCGATATGTTGAAAATGGAAAAAAATAAAAATAAATACATTATTTTGATGTATATGTGAAATTCATTGACCATTTTTAGAATGGCTTACGCACACGCACTACTCTGGTCCTATAGTACAATTATTAATTATATATCTTTTATCCAATGCGGAAAAAAGATACGCTTGTAAATAATTGAATTTTATAGTCATAAAAATATTTAGATTTCAGGAACGAGCTCAATAGGCAGCGTAGTAACTAGGTCAGATCCCAAGAAAACAAAACAAAAACAAAATAGTTGAAGTTTTTTTTTTTTAACACAAAAGCTGACATTTGTAGATTAAAATGAAAAAGAAAATTGTATCAAGGTTTTCTTTGTAACTAATGTTGGTCAGAATAGCCAAGAGGGTCCTTAAAGATTAGCTTGAACTTGTGCCCATTTATGATTTATTAAAGGACGCATAAATTGGCTTTAAGCACTCAATAATATACTTAATAATACTTAAAATCCTCTGACCTATAATCAAACTACAAATAATAACAAAGAACTAATTCCAGGTTTCCAACGATGAGCCATGACTAAATCCACCATTGTATATTAATATCCTAAAAGTAAAAAGGAAATTTCAAATGGGTTTTAACAATAGAATGAAATCACTATCATCTCAAGTCAACAATAGAAAAAGTAAAAGGTAAAACCAAAAACTAGATATCAATTAAACTAGTTCTATGTTTCACTTTACTAGTTATATCATATGTCTAAACAAATAAGCAAAACACTTTCTACATTACACAACCTTGGAACAAACATACTGAGTATGTAATTGTCTTCCACAACAGCAAGCAATCTAGGACAAAATCAGACAAGAAAACATATGAAAACGAAGAATAACAAAAAGGCTACATGTAAACGTACTTTTATTTTTATATTTTTTGTATTATAACACCCTAATTTCAATTATTTTTTAATTAAGACATTGCAATGTTAAATGTATACCAATTATATCATTATACTTCAAAAAAAAAAAAATCTTATTAGGGCATTATACCTTTAAAAATTCTACCCAATTATAATACTGAAAATTGTTTTGTATTTTGATGGCATTGCCATAATTAGGTAGCTTTTCCAAGTACAATGTTTTGTAATAAGAGAATGGAAATAATCAAATCAACAAAAGTATGTTTTGCAATTTACCCCGCAAAAAGAGATAAATGCAACAAATAGCAATGCACTTGTATTTATCTGTGTATCCAACTTTCATGTTTTTTTATTACAACAATGCACTTTCAATTATTTTCTTATTAAGACAATGTACTTTGAAAAATCTACCAACTATTGCATTATACTCCAGTTATTCTTATTGTGGTAAATATACTTTAAAACATCTACCAAAATATTGCAGTGAAAACTGCTTTGTTGTTTTAAAGAGGTTGATTTTTCAAAGTACAAGGTTATAAGAAAAACTAAAAGTAGCATATGATTTGATACATAAATCAATAGATGTGCGTAGCTATTTCTTGCATGTTACCGAAAAAAAGGTCTGACTGCAATAAATAGCAACAAACTTTTATTTATTTGTGTATCAAAACTTTCTACTTTCATTTTTTCTATTACAACATTGTACTTATTACTTTCTTATAAAGACATTGTGCTTTAAATATCTACCAATTATGGCATCAACTCACAGAGTTTTGGTATAACTTGGTTAATTTTTTAAAGGAAATGAAAGCAAGATGCTATAATAAACAAACCAGTAAAAGTATGCTGCTGTTTCGTGCATTAAACCGAAAAAAAAAAAAATACTTAAATGATAGAGAAACAACTTACATGAAGGAGCATAGGCAAGAGGTGTATGAAACCAAAGATGTGCTTCACTCATCTATGCGATCAACATCCATAGATTGATGGGGAAAGTACCACATTTTAGCAGTAAAGAAGGTGATATTTCCATCATCATCAGTGTTGGGAAATGAAGCAAATCTCCCGAGTGACTCCCATTTAACAGCAACATCAGCACCGTGGTTCAAGTCGCTATAAAAAAATGCATATTCTTCAAATGTCTTTTCACACGGTTTTACCCATTTCATTTCCCCAAAATCTAGCTCGTGCAATTCATTCAGAAATTTTGAAATTGAAGGCCTCACACAAAGCCTCTCACCTGAACTTACAAACCTAGTCGCATAAAAGAAGTATTTGGGCTTCTTGATTTCGAGCATTGTCAATTTGGGGTGTGGAATGAGTCTCAGTTCAAATAAACAATGCATCTGATCGCTTAGAGCATATATTTTCCCCTTAAAAGCATATATATCATGGATGGAGAAAGGGTAGGAGGAGACATGATTCCATGCTCCTTTACCCTCTATTGAAAACCATATCTCCCTGCAGGAATGAAGCAACAAAACAAACGCCCACCCATATATTGAGGGTGAAAAGACGAGGATAACCCTGCCAATGCCAGGATTGTAATCAGATGGGAAATTAGGGAAATGAAGTTCCTTGTGATAGGGTTCACAAGCCAGAAGCTGTGGGTTTTCTTAACAAAAAAGATCAAGTAACCACATGTCAATCCTACACAGGCTGCAACAGCAGAATGGGGAAGAATGGTTTTAAACCTTCTTCTTCTTTCAAAGTCCTCCAGGAAGCAGGTTTTGTCATGAGCACGACAACAGATACTTATGGTCATGGGTAGCATGGAGGCCATAAACTTGTTTTCATTAGAGCACGCGATTAATCTCCAAGACTTGCAAACTCCACGGAATGAATAATAATCCACAACTCCCAACCGCATCATCACTGAATCAAGCAAATCATGGTCAAGATCTGACCAATGTTCACAAGTCTTGGGCATCTCCCTGCTAGATGATGCAGCAGCATCATGATTCTGGTTTCTAGCCATACTCCTTGTCCTAGCCATTCCTACACTTGCAAATAAACAATAGATATAATTCATCAAACAACTACATGAATCCTATGTGATGTTAATCATTTTAATCCACATACTACACCTCTCAGGGTTTTATTCCATCCATTATTCCCTATAGTGATGGTTTTTGTAACAGAGTCGCAAATAGTTAACCAAATTGTGTATGTTTCACTCAAGTTTTTATGTACTTCATGGTGACATAGATTATTTAGAGCAACAGCAATGGTAAACCATTGACAGCATTATCAAAGGTTTAAGCCATTCAAAGCATGATCAAGGGCTGAAAGCATTTCATAGTTTCACCAAATTGTTTGTGTAATAAACCTGAGATTCACCACTTGTAAACTCTATTTCACGGTAAACTTTACGTCAAAATATATTGCAAGCACAGATTGGATCTCGATTTCACCAAAATATTACCGGTAGACAACAAATTTCGCTTTAACAGCATGGAACGTATTTGAAAAGATCACTAAATGCATCAAAGCAGACACCAAATTTCACCAAAATATTCACACAAAATAACACAAATAAACTAATCAACAAAAAAATTAAATTAAACAGAGACTCGTCAACGAAAAGAGAAGAACCTGAGACGGAGAAGAGTATCTGACACAGAGAAGAAAACGCCGAGAAGAACTGAGCGACGGAGAACCAGCGACGCCTGCGACGAAGAAGAAAACGACGTCGAGAAGAATTGGGCGTCCGAACGGGAGAGGGTTTATCGATCGGGCTCGTGGGTGGTTGTGTGTGAGGAAAAGAGAGAGGAGGGTCATCAGGAAAAATGGGGGTTTGTAAGACGGGAGGGTGTCACTTTTGGTGGGCCATGCCCTCTTTCCCTTGCTTTCAAATCCCTCACCTAAAAGCTAAGGAATGGGTGCCCTTCCTTCACTTTTTTTTTTTATATTAAATAAAATAAAATAAAAAATTTGATTTATAATTTTTAAATTAATATCAAATATAAAATTTAATTAAAAATAAAAAACATTTCATTAATTAAAATAAAAATTACATTAATCCTAATATTTAAATAAGTAGAAAAATAAAAAAAAACCGCAAAAAAAAAAAATCAAACAACCTACAACATAGAAAACATAATTAATATCATAATTTTATTTAAACTAAAATACGTCACTCGGAATCATCGTCTTCGTCATCGCCTTGATCGTCTGCATCATTCTCCCCAGCGTCACTCTCGTCGTCGGAATCTTCACTCTCTACGAACATATCAGAATCCTCGTTTGATTCGTCAAACAAATCATCGTGAGATAACTCGTATGGGGGCTGAATATGAGCCCTATAAATGTGCTCCACCAAATCAGCACGAAGGGCCTGATGAATGTCGCGATTGTGTACTTCTCTTCTATTCACCATATACTCTTGTGTACCAACGGCTACTCCTTCGACATTTGGCAAAACTTCATTTTCGTTGTATCGGCATATCGCTCTTCCTTCGTCTTCAAGAATCATATTATGCAATATGATACATGCATACATTACGTGTTGTAACCTTTTCACCTCATATGACCTTGCACCGACCGTTAGTACTTGCCAACGTCTCTTAAGTACACCAAATGCTCGCTCCACATCCTTCCTAGCTGACTCTTGTGCCTCTTTAAACTTTTTCCTTTTCGGGTCATTAGGACATGTAAACGATTTCACAAAAACAGACAAGGGAGGATATATACCGTCAGTAAGATAGTATCCACGCTTATATGCTACCCCATTTGCTTGAAAAGGTACATCGTGTGACTTTCCAAGGTAGATATCGTTGAATACTGGCGACTGGTCTAGCACATTGATGTCATTGTTTGCACCAGTTGGACCAAAGAATGCATGCCATATCCAAAGATCATGTGATGCGATAGCCTCTAGAATGATCGTCGACTCTTTGTGGTCGCCTCTAATGTACTGACCACGCCATGCGTTGGGGCATAATGACCAGCTCCAATGCATGCAATCGATACTACCTAGCATTTCAGGGAATCCATGCTTGCCTTCATGCACCGTATACAATTGGTGGATATCGTTGATAGTTGGTTTGCGCAAATATCGTTGCCCATAAACCAAACAGATCGCTTTGCAGAACTTGTACACACACTCCCGCACGGTACGCTTTGACATCCTAAAATACTCGTCCCATTTGTCTGCGCCCATGCCGTATGCTAGCTGACGAATTGAAGCTGTGCATTTTTGAATGGGAGAGAAACCTTTTTTCCCCTTGCATCCATTTTCCATTGAAAATATGGAAAGCGGCCTTCCATATCGCCAACAATACGTAAGAATAGTTCCTTCCTCATCCGGAACCGACATCGAAACTTTACAGCGTAGATGGCGTCATCTGCAAAATAATCTTCTATAAGGCGATCGTGTCCGGCTTCGTGATTTCTACGTAACGGCGGCTTTCTTAGGTTAGGTCGTGCACGTGATGTTTCGCCTAGTCGGTTTTGATAGTATGCAACCGTTTTCGCTATGACGGAACCGATAAACTTAGCCTCCTCTACAGCCGTCGAATCGGATGATAAAGATGATGACATTTTGAATAATATTTTTTAGAGAGAAATATAGGTTATGGGTTAAAAAAATGATAGAATGTTTGAGTATTTATAGGTTAAGAAAAGGAAAAGAAAAAAGAATATATATATATATATATATATATATATATATATATATATATATATATATATATATATATGTAACGGCTATATAGCCGTTTGGATTAAAAAAAGAAAAAAAAAAGAAAAAAAATCGCACAGCCAATGGTTAGAAGAGAGAGAGAGCGGGACTCTCTCCCCCCACCCTCTTCCCACTGCTCCTTTCCCGCACCCACGGTGCGGTATGTCTTCATGCGGGAACCGATCCCGCGGTTTCCCCGCGGTCCACTCCGTCCGGCCTAAGGATCATTTTCTCACTTGTGTGGTTCCCATTTTTAGCAAAAGAAAAAAAAGTAATAAGGAAAAATAAAAGTAAAAAACAAAAAATAAAAAATCTCTCCAAAATTAAATATTTTGTTTTTTTCTTTTTAAATTCTTTCTAATCTAAAAAAAATTAAGAGGAAAAGTGATCATTCTATTTTCTTCCACTTACTTTCTTCAATGAAACTCGAAAACACCTTTTTTTTATTTTCTTCTCATTTACATCTATTTCTTTTCTTTTCTCTCGTTAAGTTAAACTCAGAAACAGCGTGTTTAACGTATTAAAATTCCAAGAAGTTATTTGTTGTATGAATATTGAAAAATGATATAACTAAGTTTCAAATTATATATAAAAAAAATACTATCGAAGTTAACGATTCTGGGATTACAAGACAGTGGCATATGTGATATGGACTCTGATTACTTATGTGTTTTGACTCGTCTTCGCAATACAATTCTGGGATTCGACTGTAGCAGTTTCACTAATAAGGACACCGCCCCCCCTAAATCCCAAAAAGCATTGGTGTGTGTACACTTTTTAGCAAAATCGTCAAAGATATGGAAGTCGACTTCGACGTGACTGTTAGACATAAAGCAGTTTTTGAGTATCTTCGAGCACCTCATGCTCAAGATTTTCTGCTAAATATCCCTATTGATGGCCTCGGCCAACATATGTCTCATGTGGAGTACCGAACTATCCTTCGTTACCGCCTCATGATTCATCTATTCTCAATTGACGAGATATGCCTAGTTTGCCGCAAGACATGTTTGGACACTTTTGGAGAACATGCGGTTCATTGTAGAGAGCTCCCTGGTTTCAAGTACCGACATGATGTGGTTAGGGATGTTCTTTTTGATGCTTGTCGACGTGCTGGTATTTCTGTGAAGAAAGAAGCGTCGATGAACTTTTTGACGGACTCGCAGGATGGAAGATTCACACTTAGGTCGACTGACATTTTGGTCTTTGGATGGATAGGAGGGAAGCACGTTTGTGTGGATCTTACTGGGGTCTCTCCTCTCGTCGGTTTGAGGAGCGGGGGTTTCACAGCAGGGCATGCCGCTTTAAAAACTGTTGCGTGCAAAGTGGCAAAGCACGAGAATGCATGTATAGAAAATCAACATGTGTTTGTACCTTTTGCATTTGATACATTTGGTTTTCTCGCGCCAAAGGCGGTGGAGCTCCTGAACAGAGTCCAACGGGTCATGCATTCTAATGTTATATCTCCTAGATCCACAGATGTTGTAACGCCTGTGTTTCTGGGCTCGTCATTAATGATGATGTGATAGTCTAGGTTAACCTTTGTAACCCGTCTTGAAATAATAAAGATGTATTATTTGAGTATTATGTGTTTTGTGCTTAATTGTGTGACTTAAATGAATTGATGATAAAAATAAGCGTCAAAATGAAATGTTAGATAAACCCAATATTTATACATGAAGACGTAGTGGTCGTGACGAGGTTTCCGAATATATAAAGAATGCTGAAATCCGAGTTATAACGAAGAAGTTATGACCCTGTCGAAGTTTCGCGACAGAACCGACACGACGCTGAATGACGTAAAATATGAATTTACGATAGAGCGATATCTAGCCTTAGAGATCTAAACGAAAGTCGTAGAATACGTTAAACCGAGAGCGTGCATAAAAAGAATGCCCAAATCTGACTTCGTATGAGGAAGTTATAATTTTTCTAAGTTTCAACTTAGCAGTATGTAGCCCGAAACTCGAGATTGAGATCGAGTGATATTTAGCCAAAACTTTCTAAATGGGATTTGAAGATCTCATCGATAGTAGTCCAACGGTAAAAAGACAGATGAAAACGGACGTCAGGCGAAGAAGTTATGAATTTCGAACGTAGTTTTCCTGTCCCGGCCTACTAAAAATAATATATTAAATTTAAAGTCAAAATTAGCCAACGGAGTCTAAACGAGAGTTGTAGAGCATAATCTCACCTACGCGTGGATATAAAGAACGTCGAAAACGGAGCTCGTATGCGAAAGTTATGAATTTCTGAAGTTCGGGGTGCGAACCCCCGATACTGTGTCAGAGTTCACGACGTGAATACAGTGTTCACGACGTGAACTCAGTGATTTGACCTTTCAGAGCCTGTCAGACGCAACCTGTGATGACGCATGTAGTGACGACTAAGTTCACGACGTGAGAACTTAAAATTCACGACGTTGAGAGCTGAAAAATGGCCCTATAAATAGAAATCAAGGGTCAGCCGATTTTGGTTGCTCCTCCCTTACTCTCCCACTCCCGATACTCTCTCTAAGCCCTATTTTAACCCCCCGAAGCCCCGGTATCATCCCGATTTTGTATTGAACTATATTTGATTTCAATCAATATAAAAAGGGAAATATCGAAAAAAGTTCCAAAGTTTTGATCCAATTTACAGTTGAATCCCAAATTAAATTTTTTAACGAAAAAAGAAAGAATATCGACTAATGTAATTGGCATTCTTATTTGTATTATATTTTAATTGATGAAACTTATAACAATGAAAAGACATTTAAAATACAATCCATTCATATATTTTGCATCAAGTATTATCTATCAAAAAGAAAAATATTTAAGGTCAAAGTTGAAGAATAAAGACTTGAAAAGTCAAATGTGGACAATTAATTTGGGACGGAGGTAGTATCATTTAAATTGGAAATTTGGAGATCTTTATATATTTTACAAATTGATTTTGAAGGGAACTCAAAACTACATGGTACTGAATCTGGTCAAAGGCTTCGTGAGAAAATAATGAGGTTGATAATCAGGTATCCTGCACAACAAAAAAAATTGTTTGTGGTACCTAGGGTTTGTAGATGTACATGGACCGGTGAATCGGGTAAAAAAATCATTTCTTGTCT